TGTTGTGGTTGTTGTTGTGGTGGTGGTTAATGTTGTGGTTAATGTTGTGGTTGTTGTTGTGGTGGTGGTTGTTGTGGTGGTGGTTAATGTTGTGGTTAATGTTGTGGTTAATGTGGTGGTGGTTAATGTTGTGGTTAATGTTGTGGTTGTTGTTGTGGTTAATGTTGTTGTGGTGGTGGTGGTTAATGGTGTGGTTGTTGTTGTGGTTGTTGTTGTGGTGGTGGTGGTTAATGTTGTGGTTGTTGTTGTGGTTGTTGTTGTGGTGGTGGTGGTTAATGTTGTGGTTGTTGTTGTGGTGGTTGTTGTTGTGGTGGTGGTTAATGTTGTGGTTGTTGTTGTGGTTGTTGTTGTGGTGGTGGTGGTTAATGTTGTGGTTGTTGTTGTGGTTGTTGTTGTTGTGGTGGTGGTGGTTAATGTTGTGGTTGTTGTTGTGGTTGTTGTGGTGGTGGTGGTTGTTGTGGTGGTGGTTAATGTTGTGGTGGTGGTTAATGTTGTTGTGGTGGTTGTTGTTGTGGTGGTGGTTAATGTTGTGGTTGTTGTTGTGGTTGTTGTTGTGGTGGTGGTGGTTAATGTTGTGGTTGTTGTTGTGGTTGTTGTTGTTGTGGTGGTGGTGGTTGTTGTTGTTGTTGTGGTTGTTGTGGTGGTGGTGGTGGTGGTGGTGTTGAGTCAGCGTTGGTGCCGCTGACTGATGCTCTGCACGAGCTGCTTCCTCTACACTTCGCTGTCGACCCTGGGGACAGCTGGGACGGAGACATCTCCAGCTGCAGGTCACTCGCTGTCTCTCTGTCTCGCTGTCTCTCTGCTGTGTCTGTCTCTCTGTGTCTCTCTGTGTCTCTGTGTCTCTCTGTCTCTCTGTCTCTCTGCTGTGTCTGTCTCTCTGTCTCTCTGTGTCTGTCTCTCTGTGTCTCTCTGTGTCTGTCTCTCTGTGTCTCTCTGTGTCTCTGTCTCTCTGCTGTGTCTGTCTCTCTGTCTCTCTGTCTCTCTGCTGTGTCTGTCTCTCTGTCTCTGTCTCTCTGTGTCTCTCTGTGTCTCTCTGTGTCTCTCTGCTGTGTCTCTGTGTGCCTCTGTGTCTCTGTGTCTCTCTGTGTCTCTGTGTCTCTGTGTCTCTCTGTCTCTCTGTCTCTCTGCTGTGTCTGTCTCTCTGTCTCTGTCTCTCTGTGTCTCTGTGTCTCTCTGTGTCTCTGTCTCTCTGCTGTGTCTGTCTCTCTGTCTCTGTCTCTCTGTGTCTGTCTCTCTGTGTCTCTCTGTGTCTCTCTCTGTGTCTCCCTGCTGTGTCTCTCTGTGTCTCTCTGTGTGTCTCTGTGTGTCTCTGTGTCTCTGTCTCTATGTGTCTCTGTGTCTCTGTCTGTGTCTCTGTGTCTCTTTGTGTCTCTCTGCTGTGTCGCTGTGTGTCTCTCTGTGTGTCTCTGTGTCTCTGTGTCTCTCTGTCTCTGTCTCTCTGTGTCTCTGTGTGTCTCTCTCCGTCTCTCTCTGTGTCTCTCTGTCTCTCTGTCTCTCTGCTGTGTCTGTGTCTCTGTCTCTCTGTGTCTGTCTCTCTGTGTCTCTGTGTCTCTCTGTGTCTCTGTCTCTCTCTGTGTCTCTCTGCTGTGTCTCTGTGTGCCTCTCTGTGTGTGTCTCTGTGTCTCTCTGTCTCTCTGCTGTGTCTGTCTCTCTGTCTCTGTCTCTCTGTGTCTCTGTGTCTCTGTGTCTCTCTGTGTCTCTGTCTCTCTGCTGTGTCTGTCTCTCTGTCTCTGTCTCTCTGTGTCTGTGTCTCTGTGTCTCTCTGTGTCTGTGTCTCTCCCTGTGTCTCTCTGCTGTGTCTCTGTGTGTCTCTGTGTGCCTCTCTGTGTGTCTCTGTGTCTCTCTGTGTCTCTCTGTCTGTGCCTCTGTGTCTCTGTGTGTCTCTCTCCGTCTCTCTCTGTGTCTCTCTGTCTCTCTGTCTCTCTGCTGTGTCTGTGTCTCTGTCTCTCTGTGTCTGTCTCTCTGTGTCTCTGTGTCTCTCTGTGTCTCTGTCTCTCTCTGTGTCTCTCTGCTGTGTCTCTGTGTGCCTCTCTGTGTGTGTCTCTGTGTCTCTCTGTCTCTCTGCTGTGTCTGTCTCTCTGTCTCTGTCTCTCTGTGTCTCTGTGTCTCTGTGTCGCTCTGTGTCTCTGTCTCTCTGCTGTGTCTGTCTCTCTGTCTCTGTCTCTCTGTGTCTGTGTCTCTGTGTCTCTCTGTGTCTGTGTCTCTCCCTGTGTCTCTCTGCTGTGTCTCTGTGTGTCTCTGTGTGCCTCTCTGTGTGTCTCTGTGTCTCTCTGTGTCTCTCTGTCTGTGCCTCTGTGTCTCTGTGTGTCTCTCTCCGTCTCTCTCTGTGTCTCTCTGTCTCTCTGTCTCTCTGCTGTGTCTGTCTCTCTGTGTCTGTCTCTCTGTGTCTCTGTGTCTCTCTGTGTCTCTGTCTCTCTCTGTGTCTCTCTGCTGTGTCTCTGTGTGCCTCTCTGTGTGTGTCTCTGTGTCTCTCTGTCTCTCTGCTGTGTCTGTCTCTCTGTCTCTGTCTCTCTGTGTCTCTGTGTCTCTGTGTCTCTCTGTGTCTCTGTCTCTCTGCTGTGTCTGTCTCTCTGTCTCTGTCTCTCTGTGTCTGTGTCTCTGTGTCTCTCTGTGTCTGTGTCTCTCCCTGTGTCTCTCTGCTGTGTCTCTGTGTGTCTCTGTGTGCCTCTCTGTGTGTCTCTGTGTCTCTCTGTGTCTCTCTGTCTCTCTGTCTCTCTGCTGTGTCTGTCTCTCTGTCTCTCTGTGTCTGTCTCTCTGTGTCTCTGTGTCTCTCTGTGTCTCTGTCTCTCTCTGTGTCTCTCCGCTGTGTCTCTGTGTGCCTCTCTGTGTGTGTCTCTGTGTCTCTGTGTCTCTCTGTGTCTCTGTGTCTCTGTCTGTGTCTCTGTGTCTCTTTGTGTCTCTCTGCTGTCTCTGTGTGTCTCTGTGTGTCTCTGTGTCTCTGTGTGTCTCTCTCCGTCTCTTTCTGTGTCTCTCTGCTGTGTCTGTCTGTGTCTCTGTGTGTCTCTCTGCTGTGTCTCTGAGTCTCTCTACTGTGTCTGTGTGTCTCTGTGTCTCTCTGTGTCTCTCTGTGTCACTGTCTCTCTGTGTCTCTGTGTCTCTACTGTGTCTCTCTACTGTGTCTGTGTGTCTCTGTGTCTCTGTCTCTCTCCGTCTCTCTCTGTGTCTCTGTGCTGTGTCTGTGTCTCTCTACTGTGTCTCTGTGTGTCTCTGTGTCTCTCTCTGTCTAACTGTGTGTCTCTCTGTGTCTCTGTGTGTCTCTCTGCTGTGTCTCTGAGTCTCTCTACTGTGTCTGTGTGTCTCTGTGTCTCTCTGTGTGTCTCTGTGTCTCTGTGTGTCTCTCTGCTGTGTCTCTGTGTCTCTCTACTGTGTCTCTCAGTGTGTCTCTGTGTCTCTCTGCTGTGTCTCTCTGTGTCTTTCTCTGTGTGTCTCTGCGTCTCTCTCTGTGTGTCTCTGTCTCTCTCTGTGTCTCTGTGTCTCTCTGTGTGTCTCTGTGTCTTTCTCTGTCTAACTGTGTGTCTGTGTCTCTCTGTGTGTCTCTGTGTGTCTCTCTGCTGTGTTTATGTGTCTCTGTGTCTCTCTACTGTGTCTCTCTGTGTGTCTCTGTGTCTCTCTGAGTCTCTCTACTGTGTCTGTGTGTCTCTGTGTCTCTCTGTGTCTCTCTCTGTCTAACTGTGTGTCTCTGTCTCTCTGTGTCTCTGTGTCTCTCTGTGTGTCTCTGTCTCTCTCTGTGTCTCTGTGTCTGTGTCTCTCTGTGTCTCTGTCTCTCTGTGTCTCTCTGTCTCTGTCTCTCTGTGTCTCTCTCTGTGTCTCTGTGTCTCTCTCTGTCTAACTGTGTGTCTCTGTCTCTCTGTCTGTGTCTCTCTGTGTGTCTCTCTGCTGTGTCTCTGTGTCTCTCTACTGTGTCTCTCTGTGTGTCTCTGTGTCTCTCTGAGTCTCTCTACTCTGTCTGTGTGTCTCTGTGTCTCTCTGTGTCTCTCTGCCTAACTGTGTGTCTCTGTCTCTCTGTGTCTCTGTGTGTCTCTGTGTCTCTCTGTGTGTCTCTGTGTCTCTCTGTCTCTCTCTGTGTCTATCGCTGTGTTTCGCTGTGTTTCTCTGTGTCTCTCTACTGTGTCGCTGTGTCTCTCTGCTGTGTCTCTCTGTATCTCTCTCTGTCTCTGTCTCTCTGGTTCTGTCTCTCTGCTGTGTCTCTCTGCTGTGTCTCTCTGTCTAACTGTGTGTCTCTGTCTCTCTCTGTGTCTCTCTGCTGTGTCTCTGTGTCTCTCTGTATCTCTCTCTGTCTCTGTCTCTCTGGTTCTGTCTCTCTGCTGTGTCTCTCTGCTGTGTCTCTCTGTCTAACTGTGTGTCTCTGTCCCTCTCGCTGTGTCTATCCGTGTGGCTGTCTCCCTGCTGTGTCTCTCTCTCTGCTGTGTTTTTTGTGTTTGTGTCTCTGTGTCTCTCGCTGTGTCTCTGTGTCTCTCTGTGTCTCTCTGCTGTGTCTCTCTGTGTCTCTCTGTCTCTCTGTGTCTCTCTTTGTCTCTCTGTGTCTCTCTGTGTCTTTCTGTGTCTCTATGTGTCTCCGTGTCTCTCTGTGTCTCTCTGTATCTCCCTCTGTCTCTGTCTCTCTCCGTCTCTCTCTGTGTCTCTCTGCTGTGTCTCTGTCTAACTGTGTGTCTCTGTCTCTCTCTGTGTCTCTCTGCTGTGTCTCTGTGTCTCTCTGTGTCTCTGTGTCTCTCTGTATCTCTCTCTGTCTCTGTCTCTCTCCGTCTCTCTCTGTGTCTCTCTGCTGTGTCTCTCTGTCTAACTGTGTGTCTCTGTCTCTCTCCGTCTCTCTCTGTGTCTCTGCTGTGTCTCTGTGTCTCTCTGTGTGTCTCTGTGTCTCTCTGTGTCTCTACTGTGTCTGTGTGTCTCCATTTGTGTCTCTGTCTCTCTGCTGTGTCTCTGTGTCTCTCTGTGTCTCTCTACTGTGTCTGTGTGTCTCCATGTGTGTCTCTGTCTCTCTGTCTCTCTGCTGTGTCTCTGTGTCTCTCTGTGTCTCTGCATCTCTCTGTGTCTCTGTGTCTCTCTGTGTCTCTGTGTCTCTGTCTCTCTCCGTCTCTCTCTGTGTCTCTCTGCTGTGTTTCTCTGTCTAACTGTGTGTCTCTGTCTCTCTCCGTCTCTCTCTGTGTCTCTGTGTGTGTCTATCTGTGTCTCTCTCTGTGTCTCTGTGTCTCTCTGTCTCTCTGTATCTCTCTGTCTCTGTCTCTCTCCATCTCTCTCTGTGTCTCTCTGCTGTGTCTCTCTGTTTAACTGTGTGTCTCTGTCTCTCTCCGTCTCTGTCTCTCTGTGTCTCTGTGTCTCTCTGTGTCTCTCTGTGTCTCTCTGTGTGTCTCTGTGTCTCTCTGTGTCTCTCCCCGTGTCTCTCCCCGTGTCTGACCCCGTGTCTCTCCCCGTGTCTCTCCCCATGTCTCACCCCGTGTCTCTCCCCGTGTCTCTCCCCGCGTGTCTCCGTGTCTCACCCCGTGTCTCTCCCCGCGTGTCTCCGTGTCTCTCCCCGCGTCTCTCCCTGCGTGTCTCCGTGGCTCACCCTGTGTCTCACCCCATGTGTCCCCGTGTCTCCCTGCGTGTCTCCGCAGGCTGTCTCTGTCTCTGGAGCAGCGTCTGGAGCTGCTGCACTCCTACATGGACGTCGTCTGTGTCCCTTACCCTGACGAGGGGCAGGTAAACAACATCAACAACAACAACATCAACAACAACAACATCAACAACAACATCAACAACAACAACATCAACAACAACATCAACAACAACATCAACAACAACATAAGCGTCAACATTAACGTCATCAACATCGTCAACAACAACATCAACAACAACATCAACAACAACGTCAACATCATTAACGTCATCAACATCATCGTCGTCAACATCGTCAACATCATCATCAACATCAACAACAACATCAACAACAACATGAACATCCACAACATCATCATCAACATCATCACTATACACTACACTATACACTACTATACACTACACTATACACTACACTACTACACACTACACTACTATACACTACACTACTACACTATACACTACACTACTATACACTACTACAAACTACACTACACACTACACTACTATACACTACACACTACACTATACACTACACTATACACTACACTATACACTACACTATACACTACACTATACACTACACTACACACTACACTATACACTACACTACACACTACACTATACACTACACTACACTATACACTACACACTACACTACACACTACACTATACACTACACTATACACTACACTACTATACACTACACTATACACTACACTACACACTACACTACTACACAGTACACTACACTACACACTACACTATACACTACACACTACACTATACACTACTATACACTACACTACACTATACACTACACTACTATACACTACACTACTATACACTACACTATACACTACACTACACACTACACTACTACACACTACACTACTACACACTACACTACTATACACTACACTACTATACACTACACTACTGCACTACTACACACTACACTACACTATACACTACACTACTACACTACACTACACACTACACTACACACTACACTACTACACTACTATACACTACACTACTATACACTACAGTATACACTACACTACACTACTATACACTACACTACACACTACACTACTACACAGTACACTACACACTACACTACACACTACACTACTACACAGTACACTACACACTACACTACACACTACACTACTACACTATACACTACACTACACACTACACTACACACTACACTACTATACACTACACTACACACTACACTACTGTACACTACACTACACACTACACTACTACACACTACACTACACACTACACTGTACTCTACACTGTACTCTACGATGTGACGATGATGAACGTCGTCAATGCGATCGGTCCCAAGTGCAGTCTGGGGGTGGTGGTGGAGGGGCGTGAGGCGTCCCATGATCCTGTCCGATGGTGATCCTGTCCGATGGTGATCCTGTCCGATGGTGATCCTGTCCGATGGTGATCCTGTCTGATGGTGATGTTGTCCCATGATGATGTCCGATGGTGATCTTGTCCGATGGTGATCTTGTCCGATGGTGATCTTGTCCGATGGTGATGTCGTCCGTTGGTGATGTCATTTGTTGGTGATGTCGTCCGTTGGTGATCCTGTCCGATGGTGATCTTGTCCGATGGTGATGTCATCTGATGGCGATGTCGTCCGTTGGTGATGTCCGTTGGTGATCCTGTCCGATGGTGATCCTGTCCGATGGTGATGTCATCCGATGGTGATCTTGTCCGATGGTGATGTCCGATGGTGATGTCATCCGATGGTGATCTTGTCCGATGGTGATGTCCAATGGTGATCCTGTCCGATGGTGATCGTGTCCGATGGTGATGCTGTCCGATGGTGATCCTGTCCGATGGTGATCCTGTCCGATGGTGATGTCGTCCGATGGTGATCTTGTCCGATGGTGATCCTGTCCGATGGTGAACTTGTCCGATGGTGATGTCCGCCTTCCAGGCTACCTCCGAATCGCCATCAAAATCCCTCGACCCATCACCACCTCCTCAACCTCCTCCTCCTCCCACCACCTCCTGCTCCTCCTCCTCATCATCCTCCTCCTCCTCGGCGGACGCCACCGACGCCGTCACCGCCGTCGCCTCCTCCTCCTCCTCCTCGTCACGGCCCAACGCTTCGGCCAGCGTCGGCTCCTCCCCTGCCTCCTCCTCCTCCTCCTCATCATCCTCATCCTCGTCGGCGACATCCGGCACCACCGACATTGCCCCTCCTCCTCCTCCTCCTCCTCCTCCGTCGTCGTCGACCAAACCCAGGCCGTCCAAATCGTCCGGCAAGCGCGGCGTCGGCGCCGCTGACAGGGAGCGGAGCGCCGCCTCCGCCGCCTCCGCCGCCTCCGCCGCCTCCGCCGCCTCCGCCGCCTCCGCCGCCTCCGCCGCCTCCGCCGGCGGAGGCGGCGCCGGTGACTCTGTGGCGTCGAAGCTCGGCCACTTGGGGCGAACCATCGGCCACCGTCTGCGCCGAAACGTCGGCGGGCTGATGCACGCCTCCGGCGGCAAGACGGCCGCCGCCGGAGGCGACAACGCCGGGGCCGGTAAGACGGCCGCGGCGAGGAAACGCCGCGGCCACGAGCCACCGCCGCCGGCGGCACCACCGGCGGTGGTGCCGCCGGTGGTGCCGGCGGTGCCCGCCGTGGCCGCCGCCGGTGGTGGTGCCGGCGGCCCCGCCGAGGACGTGCGGCTGAGCCTGGCCATCCTGCGGGCGTCGGCGCAGGGCGAGCGGAAGTTCCTGCTGGCGGCGTCGCTCTCCGGCGGCGCCAAACACCGCTACCACGACGAGATGATCCGCAACTACGTCGCCGACGCCCAGCGGCGCTTCAACGCCGAGGTGCAGGCCCGCCGGGGGGGCCGCGGCCGCGGCCGCGGCCGCGGCCGGCGAGCGGCCGGCGATGACGGCCGGCGACGGCGGAGGTCGCGGCGGTGCCGGCCGTGTCGGCGGCGGCGGTAGCGGCACGGCGACGTCTCCGTCTCGCTCTCAGGCCCAGCCCGCCGCCGGCCCGTCGCTCAGGAAGACCGCCAACTGGCTGAGCGGGGCGGCCGTCCGGGACAATCCCTACGCCGGCTACCAGCCGGCGGCCCAGCAGCTGACGCAGCAGCAGCAGCAACAGCAGCATCAGCAGCAGCAGCAACAGCAACAGCAGCAGCAGCAACAGCAACAACAGCAGCAGCAGCAGCAGCAGCTCACGCAGCTCAACGCGTACGAAACCACCGCCGACACCACCGCCACCGCCTACAGCGGCATTCCACGTCCGCAGCTCATGGGCTCCTCCTCGTCCCTGTCCTCATCGCCTTTTCGGCAGCAGCAGCAGCAGCAGCATCATCAGCATCATCATCAGCATCATCAGCAGCAGCTCCCCGCGGGCCCCTCCTCGCTGCCGCCCTCCCTGGAGGGGGGGCCGAGGACGCGCGACCGCGGAGGCGGCCGGGGCGGACCCGGCGGGGACGACTGCGACCGTCGCTCCGCCTGGCACGACCGGCCGCCGTCCCCGACGTCCTACGGCCCAGCGGGCGCCTACGGCGGGGCCGGCGGGGCCTTGGGGAGGGCGGCGTTCGCGGGGACGCCCGGCGGGCCCGCCGAGTTCCGGGTCTTCTCGGGCCCCACGGAGGACGAGGTGAGCGGCACGTGGCTGAGCCACCGCGCGTCGCCCTCGGCCTACAGCATGGCCGGCAAGTCGCTGCCCCGGCACGCCGACTACTGAGCACCGCGTCGGGCGTCACCGCCGAGGGCGGGCGTCACCGCCGAGGGCGGGAGAGGGGGGATAGGAGGATGTTGGGCGATGGTGGTGTGGCGGGGAGGGAGGAGGTGGACGAGGTGTGAAGAGGAGGAGACGATTGATGGAGGGGGAGGATGCGGAGGCGACGAGGGCGATGACGGAGGAGGGAGTTGCTCCGTCCGTTGCGTCCGTGCGTGACAGACGCCGTGGTTTGGTTGAGGAGTGGTCGTGGCCTGGTTGAGGAGTGGTCGTGGCCTGGTTGAGGAGTGGTGGACGTGGCCTGGTTGAGGAGTGGTCGTGGCCTGGTTGTGGAGTGGTCGTGGCCTGGTTGAGGAGTGGTCGTGGCCTGGTTGTGGAGTGGTCGTGGCCTGGTTGAGGAGTGGTCGTGGCCTGGTTGGTGAGTGGATGTGGCCTGGTTGAGGAGTGGACGTGGCCTGGTTGAGGAGTGGACGTGGCCTGGTTGAGGGGTGGACGTGGCCTGGTTGAGGAGTGGTCGTGGCCTGGTTGAGTGGTGGACGTGGCCTGGTTGAGGGGTGGTCGTGGCCTGGTTGAGGAGTGGTCGTGGCCTGGTTGAGGAGGGGTGGACATGGCCTGGTTGAGGGGTGGTCGTGGCCTGGTTGGGGAGTGGTCGTGGCCTGGTTGAGGAGTGGTCGTGGCCTGGTTGAGGAGTGGTCGTGGCCTGGTTGGGGAGTGGTCGTGGCCTGGTTGAGGAGTGGTCGTGGCCTGGTTGTGGGGTGGTCGTGGCCTGGTTGAGTGGTGGACGTGGCCTGGTTGAGGAGTGGTGGTTGCCTGGTTGAGGGGTGGTCGTGGCCTGGTTGAGGAGTGGTCGTGGCCTGGTTGAGGAGTGGTGGTCGTGGCCTGGTTGAGGAGTGGTGGTTGCTTGGTTTTCGTTTTTTCCTTTGTTGCTTCATTTCAGTTCCATTCGCCATCGGCACATTTCAGTTTGTCGAGGTCCGACGGATCCGTCTCTCTCGTGTGTCTCTCATGCGTCTCTCTCTCTCTCTATCGCCGCGCGTGTGTCTCTCTCACCACAGAGGGACGAGAGAGAGAGAGCGGGAGAGAGGGAGAGAGAGAGAGACTTTTTAACTTTTAAACCGAGTTCATCGCCACCAGTGCGAAACGACAACCAGACAAAAACGTTCAAGGGGACCGCGCGAGTTCCCCGGCGCACGGAGTGGCACGCCTGCTCCAGTCGGAGCCCCCCGCCTCGAGCGAGGCCCTCCAGCGTAGCCACCGCTGAGCAGCCTGCCACTTTTCCCACGCGGGTTTTGAAAATTTGCCACCTTGGCCTGGGGCGCCGCGCGCCGAGTTCACGAGGCCCCGCGGTGGTTTATTCGCCACGCGGGGGTGGCGCACCGCACGCACACAAACCGAGAGATGGACCCCCCCCCCCCCCCCCCGCAAAGAGCCGGCAACGGCGGCCACAACGTTGAACGCTCCAGGCGGCGTCCGGTGTGCACCGGCCTCCGCCAGGCGTCCACCACCACGGGAGAGTCCCGGGAGGGGAGGGCCGCTTGGCGAGGCAGCGCCTCGACGCACAGCGCCCTCGGCAGAGCCCCCTCCCCGAGTCGCCGGAGTGGGAGGGGAGTGGGGGGGGGGGTGCTGTAGCGCCGCCGTCCAGGCCCACGTCAGGGGCGAGGGCCGGCGCCGTCCAGGGCCGCCGCTGCTCCGCCTATCCGTGCGGCGGCCGCCCCCTCGCAGCCCGCAGCCTGGAGGCCATCGCCCTGGCGGAAGCGTCCACCAGGGCCCTGGCCACCCCTCACCCACCGGTAGGCGGGCAGAGGACTGGGGGGGGGGGGGGGGGCTCCTCGGGGGGGGCCCCACCGCTGGGTTAAACCCGACGGGCGCTCGCGACCCCCCTCGAAGGCGAGGCCGTTGGTCTGGCCTCCAAAAAAGAATCCCTCAACTCGGCCCGGTTGGTCCGGCCGGGGGGTGACTTTGGGTTCCCCCCCCCCCCCCCCCTCGAGGTAAACCCTCCCCCCGAGATGGCCGACGCCCTCGGCCTGCCAGACACCACCCCCCCCCGACCACACAGAGGCCGAGCGAAGCCTTCCCAGATACACGTGGCCCCCCCCCCCCACCCCTTTCGGACGCTTTCCCTTGGCCCACGACGAGGAGGAGGAGGCGGAGGAGGAGGAGGAGGAGGAGGAGGAGGCGGAGGAGGAGGAGGAGGAGGCGGAGGAGGAGGAGGAGGAGGAGGCGGAGGAGGAGGAGGAGGAGCAGGAGGCGGAGGAGGAGGCGGAGTAGGAGGAGGCGGAGGAGGTGGAGTAGGAGGAGGCGGAGGAGGAGGAGGCGGAGGAGGAGGCGGAGGAAGAGGAGGAGGAGGAGGCGGAGGAGGAGGAGGAGGAGCAGGAGGCGGAGGAGGAGGCGGAGTAGGAGGAGGCGGAGGAGGTGGAGTAGGAGGAGGCGGAGGAGGAGGAGGCGGAGGAGGAGGCGGAGGAAGAGGAGGAGGGGGAGGAGGCGGAGGAGGAGGCGGAGGAGGAGGAGGCGGAGGAGGAGGCGGAGGAGGAGGAGGCGGAGGAGGAGGAGGAGGCGGAGAAAGCCCGAGTCCGCCGCACCCTTCCTCGCGAGAGAAATCTGAGTCCCCTGTTGTCACAGACGTGGCCCGCCCCGCCGTCCGGGCGGTGGGCGGTGGTGGGAGGTCTGCTACCGGCCGGGGCCGCGCCTTGAGCAGGCCCCTGAACGCTGGCAGCACCGCGGAGCGGCCGCCCGGTGCCGCCCCGCGGCGCCCTTGCTCCCGGTCCCGTACACGGCCGACTTCGCCCGAGCCCGAGGCGAAGTCGGCGATGGTTGACGGCGTTTGTTGGCCGGGCGAAGGCGCCACCCCCGCAGCTTCCTGAAGATGTCCCCCCACCCCCGAAAGGCGGAACGACGAGTTTGAGCCGCCGGTGGGGCAAGATCCTTCCCCGGCACCGCGTGGAAGTCTGTTACCCTCCCCCCCCCCCCCCCCTCCCCGCCGGCGAGATTTTGCCGAGCCGCACGGCCGATTGGCAACGTCCGGCGCGCAGCGTTTGGCTAACGGGAGACACTTTGTACGTCTGGCGGCCGCGACGAGGGGGAGAGGAACGTTCTCTCCGTTTTTTGCGCCCGGTGGGTCGGGCCAGGTCCCCGGGGAAGTGCGGCAGCGCCTGGACGCGGCCGCGTTCGGGGGGGAGCTGCTCGGGGGGGGGGGGGGGGGGGGAAAGTTCCCGCAGCCTCGGAGCCCCGAGGAGCTTGCCGGGGTCGCTGTGGCCGGTGGGGACGCGCGCAGGAGAAGCACGGCTCCTGTGAAAGTGGAGGAGGAGGAGGAGGAGGAGCGGGTGGGGTGGGGGGAGGAGGGACGCCACCATCCCCCGGCGCCTCCAGGTTGAGAGACAGAGAGAGAGAGAGACAGAGAGAGAGAGACAGACAGAGAGAGCGAGACAGAGAAAGAGAGAGAGACCGAGAGAGAGAGAGAGACAGAGAGAGAGAGACAGAGACACAGAGAGAGAGACAGACAGAGAGAGAGACAGAAAGAGACACAGAGAGACAGACAGAGAGAGAGACCGAGACAGAGAGAGAGACAGAGAGAGAGAGAGAGACAGGCAGAGAGAGACAGAGAGAGAGACAGAGAGAGACAGAGACACAGAGACACAGAGAGACAGAGAGACTTCTTTTTGTTTACTTTTAAACAAAAACCTGTATCGCCTCGGCGGCAGAAACGCCCTGGGGGCGATTCTGCCGTGCCAGGTTGAGCGCAAGTCGCCGGGCGGCATCCGGTCCACGCGCCACCGGCGACACCGGCGACACCGGCGACACCGGCGACACCGGCGCCACCGGCGCCACCGGCGAGACCGGCGACACCGGCGACACCGGCGACACCGGCGACACCGGCGACACCGGCGACACCGTGGACAATCGGGTTCCCGGGTCCGCGCGCAAGCCGAGGCGGGGGAGAGAGAGGCACCGGGCCTACTGCCCGCCCAAGGCGAAGTGTACCCTCGCCGCCCCCGTCACGGAGCAGAGAGGGCCTTGCTCCGGGACCTCCCCAGCGGCTGGGGTTTTCGCGTCGTGCGACTCGACCACTCGACCAGGCCGGCCTTCCGGGAAGCGAGCGAAGCTCCTCGCCAGGATCTTGGAGCTTCGCCGGGCCACGACTGAAGGGGGGGGGGGGGGTAGCCCCGTGCGGAAGGCCGTCCCCAGGTTTTTTTCCCCCCCGGAGGCGGTACGACGGCCCCCCACCCCCCCCTGCCCCCCCCCGTGTTGCCGGCCCGCCAGCTTCGTCCCCCGGATCCCCGCGAGGCGGCCGGCTCCGCCACCCGTGTCCCAGGAGGCTCCGTTGGGGAAGGCCGGCGGCCCCCGGCTCGGGTCGACCCGAGCCGGGGGCCGCGCGAGGGGAGGAGCTCGACGCTCGACGCTCGACGGCGAGGGGTGGGGCCCCCGGCCCCTCGCCGTACGGCCAACCGCTGCACGGTCTGCGGGGGGCCGGGGAGGGCCCGGGGAAGGGCCGGGGAGGGCCCGGGAGGGCCCGGGGAGGGCCCGGGGAAGGGCCGGGGAGGGCCGGGAGGGCCGGGAGGGCCGGGGAGGGCCGGGAGGGCCGGGAGGGCCGGGAGGGCCGGGAGGGCCGGGGAGGGCCGGGGAGGGCCGGGAGGGCCGGGAGGGCCGGGAGGGCCGGGAGGGCCGGGAGGGCCGGGAGGGCCGGGGAGGGCCGGGAGGGCCGGGAGGGCCGGGAGGGCCGAGAGGGCCGGGAGGGCCTTTGCCCTGGTTTTCCTTTCGCCGCCGCGGCTGAAGGACGAGCGGCCGGCGAAGTCAACCGCGCAGGGCGAGAGTGAAATGGCGAATCGGCGAAGTTGAACAACGCCCCGGGGGCGAGGGAAATCTCCCGCGGCGTTTCGGCCACGGCACAAAGCGGCCTTCGTCAGGTGCAGAGACGAGAACTGGAGGGCGGCGAAGGCCCACGGGCCGCCACGGAAGGAGGGGGGCGGCCCCCTTCTTCACCTTCTTCACCTCCTGCACCTTCACCTTCTTCACCTTCTTCACCTCCTTCACCTCCTTCACCTTCTTCACCTTCTTCACCTCCTGCACCTCTTGCACCTTCTTCACCTTCTTCACCTTCTTCACCTTCTTCACCTTCTTCACCTCCTGCACCTTCTGCACCTCGTTCACCTTCTTCACCTTCTACACCTTCTTCACCTCCTTCACCTTCTTCACCTCCTGCACCTTCTGCACCTTCTTCACCTTCTTCACCTTCTTCACCTTCTTCACCTTCTTCACCTTCTGCACCTTCTTCACCTTCTTCACCTCCTGCACCTTCTTCACCTTCTGCACCTTCTTCACCTTCTGCACCTTCTTCACCTTCTTCACCTTCTGCACCTTCTTCACCTTCTTCACCTTCTTCACCTCCTGCACCTTCTTCACCTCCTGCACCTTCTTCACCTTCTTCACCTTCTTCACCTCCTTCACCTTCTGCACCTTCTTCACCTTCTTCACCTTCTGCACCTTCTTCACCTTCTTCACCTTCTTCACCTCCTGCACCTTCTTCACCTTCTTCACCTCCTGCACCTTCTTCACCTTCTGCACCTCCTGCACCTTCTTCACCTTCTTCACCTCCTGCACCTTCTTCACCTTCTTCACCTCCTGCACCTTCTTCACCTTCTTCACCTCCTGCACCTTCTTCACCTTCTGCACCTTCTTCACCTTCTTCACCTTCTGCACCTTCTGCACCTTCTTCACCTTCTTCACCTTCTGCACCTTCTTCACCTTCTGCACCTTCTTCACCTTCTTCACCTTCTTCACCTCCTGCACCTTCTTCACCTTCTTCACCTTCTTCACCTTCTTCACCTTCTGCACCTTCTTCACCTTCTTCACCTCCTGCACCTTCTTCACCTTCTTCACCTTCTTCACCTTCTGCACCTTCTTCACCTTCTTCACCTTCTGCACCTTCTTCACCTTCTTCACCTTCTTCACCTTCTACACCTTCTTCACCTTCTTCACCTTCTGCACCTCCTTCACCTCCTTCACCTTCTTCACCTTCTTCACCTTCTGCACCTTCTGCACCTTCTTCACCTTCTTCACCTTCTTCACCTTCTTCACCTTCTTCACCTTCTTCACCTTCTTCACCTTCTTCACCTTCTTCACCTTCTTCACCTTCTTCACCTTCTTCACCTTCTTCTTCACCTCCTTCACCTTCTTCACCTTCTTCACCTTCTTCACCTTCTGCACCTTTTTCACCTTCTTCACCTTCTGCACCTTCTTCACCTTCTTCACCTTCTGCACCTTCTGCACCTTCTTCACCTTCTGCACCTTCTGCACCTTCTTCACCTTCTTCACCTCCTTCACCTTCTTCACCTTCTGCACCTTCTGCACCTTCTTCACCTTCTGCACCTTCTTCACCTTCTTCACCTTCTTCACCTTCTTCACCTTCTGCACCTTCTACACCTTCTTCACCTTCTTCACCTTCTTCACCTCCTGCACCTTCTTCACCTCCTTCACCTTCACCTTCTTCACCTTCTTCACCTCCTTCACCTCCTTCACCTTCTTCACCTTCTTCACCTTCTTCACCTCCTGCACCTCTTGCACCTTCTTCACCTTCTTCACCTTCTTCACCTTCTTCACCTCCTGCACCTTCTGCACCTCGTTCACCTTCTTCACCTTCTACACCTTCTTCACCTCCTTCACCTTCTTCACCTCCTGCACCTTCTGCACCTTCTTCACCTTCTTCACCTTCTTCACCTTCTTCACCTTCTTCACCTCCTGCACCTTCTTCACCTTCTGCACCTTCTTCACCTTCTGCACCTTCTTCACCTTCTTCACCTTCTGCACCTTCTTCACCTTCTTCACCTTCTTCACCTCCTGCACCTTCTTCACCTCCTGCACCTTCTTCACCTTCTGCACCTTCTTCACCTCCTTCACCTTCTGCACCTTCTTCACCTTCTTCACCTTCTGCACCTTCTTCACCTTCTTCACCTTCTTCACCTCCTGCACCTTCTTCACCTTCTTCACCTCCTGCACCTTCTTCACCTTCTGCACCTCCTTCACCTTCTTCACCTTCTGCACCTTCTGCACCTTCTTCACCTTCTTCACCTTCTTCACCTTCACCTTCTTCACCTTCTTCACCTTCTTCACCTTCTTCACCTCCTTCACCTTCTTCACCTTCTTCACCTTCTTCACCTTCTTCACCTTCTTCACCTTCTGCACCTTCTTCACCTTCTTCACCTTCTTCACCTTCTTCACCTTCTTCACCTTCTTCACCTTCTGCACCTTCTTCACCTTCTTCACCTTCTGCACCTTCTTCACCTTCTTCACCTTCTTCACCTTCTTCACCTTCTTCACCTTCTTCACCTTCCGCACCTCCTTCACCTTCTTCACCTCCTTCACCTTCTTCACCTTCTTCACCTTCTTCACCTTCTTCACCTCCTGCACCTTCTTCACCTTCTGCACCTTCTTCACCTTCTGCACCTTCTTCACCTTCTTCACCTTCTGCACCTTCTTCACCTTCTTCACCTTCTTCACCTCCTGCACCTACTTCACCTCCTGCACCTTCTTCACCTTCTGCACCTTCTTCACCTCCTTCACCTTCTTCACCTTCTTCACCTTCTTCACCTTCTTCACCTTCTTCACCTTCTTCACCTTCTTCACCTCCTGCACCTTCTTCACCTTCTTCACCTCCTGCACCTTCTTCACCTTCTGCACCTCCTTCACCTTCTTCACCTTCTGCACCTTCTGCACCTTCTTCACCTTCTTCACCTTCTTCACCTTCTTCACCTCCTGCACCTTCTGCACCTCGTTCACCTTCTTCACCTTCTACACCTTCTTCACCTCCTTCACCTTCTTCACCTCCTGCACCTTCTTCACCTTCTTCACCTTCTTCACCTTCTTCACCTTCTTCACCTCCTGCACCTTCTTCACCTTCTGCACCTTCTTCACCTTCTGCACCTTCTTCACCTTCTTCACCTTCTTCACCTTCTTCACCTTCTTCACCTTCTTCACCTCCTGCACCTTCTTCACCTCCTGCACCTTCTTCACCTTCTGCACCTTCTTCACCTCCTTCACCTTCTGCACCTTCTTCACCTTCTTCACCTTCTGCACCTTCTTCACCTTCTTCACCTTCTTCACCTCCTGCACCTCTTCACCTTCTTCACCTCCTGCACCTTCTTCACCTTCTGCACCTTCTTCACCTTCTGCACCTTCTTCACCTTCTTCACCTTCTGCAC